CGTCGCCGGCTGTGGTGATTTGAAGGCATGCTTGGCAGCCATGTCCCTGATGTGTGCCCTCAGCTGCGAGGCATCAGATGGGCAGCTGCGCCTGCTGGCCGCACGCAACCCAGATCTGGTGACAAGTGCCGCCAAGGCGCTGTGCTGTCTGCTTGAGGGCGCACTGGTCAACGAGCTCAGTGCTGCTCAGCTCTGCTGTCCAGTTTTTGGATCGTGTCCTCATATCCTGCACACCTTTGGAGTGGTCGCCATCCCTGATGCCGGTGACCCGGGCACCACATTTTCGAGCGCCGCTTGGGTGCCCGAGGTCGTGGCCGCGCTGCAGGCGGCGGTGTCTGAGCCCCAGACTGCGGCCAGCAGCGCAGATGCAGCTCGGGCACAGCAGCAGGGGGACGAGGGCGACAGCAGTGCCAAATGCCCAGAGAGCTTAGAGATGCGCCGGGCAGCAGCCGAGCTGCTGCAGAGGCTTCAGGCCGCGCGGGGCGCTGCTTCGGAGCAGCAGCAACAGCAGCATCAACAACAACAACAACAGCAGCAGCAGCAGCAGCTCCGGGAGGCGCAGCAGCAGCAGCAGCAGCAGCCCGTGCCTCCATCGCAGCAACAGGCTGGCGCACCTGCGGCGCCTCCAGCAGCAGGCGCGGCAGCTGCTGCGGAGCAGTGCGCGGAGTGCGGCGCGAGGGGCCGGCTGCGGCTGTGCCGTGGCTGCCGGGCGGTGCGGTACTGCGGCGAGGAGTGCGCCAGGCGGGCGTGGAAGGGCGGACACAGGGCGGAGTGCCTGGCGGCGCAGGCGGCGGGGCAGCAGCCGTCGGGTCAGCAGCTGCAGCCCCAGTCATGATCACCTGGCAGGGTTTCTTGGAAGCGCTATTGACATTTTGTATTTGTTTGCCTCGCACCCTTATTGCTGCGGTTGTGTGCCCCACGCCGCATGCACAGGAGCTGCACAATTACAACCCATACACATTCAGCAAATGTGTCACTCAAGCAATGTAAACACGGCCCCAAACCAAGGCGCATCCTGATTGTGTAGGGACTCGGTAATGGCCATGTTTCCCGACTGCGCTTACGGTATAAGGGGGCGAGGGTGCTGCATGCGGCAATGGAGGGTGCCACAAGGCAGCTGGTGCAAGGGACCACCCCCTTCTAAGACCAGTGGCGCTTTGTGACAGTGGTGGTCAAGGAGATGTGGTGCTGCAAAAAGTCAGCATTATTATGACGTCAACTGCAGCAATGGCACCCTGCGGCCCGCGCTTCGCCGGCGTCTGCGATGGGCGACGGCGGAGGATCAGCGGGACAACTGCTGCAGCATAGCGCAATTGAGCTGTGCAGTGCCGCAGAGGATCCCGAGCTAAATTCGTGACACCGTTTATCTATTACAACCATGATCGTGTCGTGAATGACACTTGCTGTAGACATCATCCTTGTTCCGGCACACTCGTGATCTGACGGCGCTTGGCAAGAGGCCGTCCATCAGCCGCTCGTACTGTACGTGAGTCATAAGCATCACGTGCGTAATAGCACGTGCGTGCACACGGCCATTAGTCGCAGTGGGGCTGCAGCAGGCAGCTGCATAGACGAGCCATTGGACCTTGGACCCACTGCTGCACTCCATCCGTGCGCAATGTCGGGCCCTGACGTCGCCAGCGCCATCCGCCAGCTGGTCTGGCCCCCACTTGGCCACCGTGGTACTGGCGCCAGGCGGCTGCCAACGCCCCGCCCAGCCGCAGAGGCAGTGCTCGACGTTGCGCTGCGTGCCGCGGGCCCCGCGGCGCCCACGCTGCCCGAGGGTCTGCTGCAGCAACTCAGGGCAGCGATAGACGACCCGGCGCGCCTGCGGACAGAGGCGGCGGCGCAGACCGCCCTCCAGATTCTTGCGGTGGTCCCTGAAGGCTCTGCCCTCACAAAGCAGGTGTGGTGGACGGGTTGTTTACAAGGGGTGCGTGTGTGCGTCCAACTGCAGCGCCCAATCAACATGCAGCACAGCACCAGACCTGCCAGTACCATCCTGCCGAGCGCTGCACCTTCCTCGCGCTCACGCCTTGCCCTGCCAGGTGCGCAGCAGCCTCGTGCCCGGGCTCACAGCGGCGCTGGTGGACTGCGTACGCCAGCGCCGCCAGGCGCCGGGCGGCGTCGCCGCAGCGGCGGCCATACTGATCATGGCGCTAGCGCAGCACGACTGTGCCGCAGTTGTCGCCGAGGTGATAGCGCTGGGCGACGTGGCTGCCGCCCCCCTGCTGGCACTCGCTGCAGATGGCGACAGCGACGATTCCCTAGCAGGGGTTATGGCCCTCACCATCTTCCTTACTGGCGCGCCCGCCCTGGCGGCGCGCTGCGCGGCTTGCCCGGCGGCGGTTGGCGCCGCCGCGCGACACATTCTCGGCACCGGCGTGGGACTGACGGACCTCGGTGACGTCGCGCTTAGCTTCCTTGCAGCAGCCGCCAGCCCCGAGGGCGGCGTCGTCGATGCCTTGGCAGCGCAGCCGCAGGTAGTCAAGGCCGCAGTGCGCGCCGTCGCTGGCGCGGCAGAGGCGGTCGTGGTTTTCAACGCGATGCGGCTTTTGCAGCAGATACTGACTGCCAGGCCAGCTGACGCGGCGCGCGAGCTGCTCCGCGTTCCGGGCGCACTGGCCGCGCTTGTGCAGCAGCTGTCACCGCCGGCGGAGGCCCGCACGCGCTGCAGGGCGGCGGCAGCTTTGTGCATGGCTGTCGAGTGCGATGAGGCTGTTGCACGCGAGGCGCTGCAGCTTGGAGCGATGGATCCACTTGTTGCGCTGTTAATACAGTGCGGCAGCAAAGACGGCCCCATTGGTGTGAGTGACGAGACAACCAACGCCGCTTGGTGCACCAGCATTTTGGTGGGACTGCACTTGCTCGTGAGAGCTGCCAGCGACGGCGGCTCAAGCTTCGCTCGCGCTGTATACCCGGCTCCTGGCGGCTTTGCACGGGCGCTGACTGCCGTTGCCAGCCAAAGAGGTTTGCCCGCATGCTCGGCAGCCCTGTCCCTGCTGTGTGCACTCTGCTCCAGATCATCAGCGGGCCCGCTGCACCTGCTGGCGGCACGGAGCCCAGATTTGGTTGCCGGTGCCGCAAAGGCGCTGTGCCGTCTGCTTGAGGGCGCCCTGGTCGACGACCTCAGTGCTGCTCAGCTCTGCTGCCCAGTATATGGATTGTGTCCTCATATCCTGCACACCTTTGGATTGATTGCCATCCCTGAGGCCGGTGACCTGAGCACCGCATTTGCAAGCGCCGCGTGGGTGCCACAGGTTATAGCTGCCCTGCAGGCGGCAGTCACTGAGCCCCCGACTGCAGCCAGCAGCGCGGACGCGGACATGGCTCGAGCACAACAGCAGGGGCCCGAGGCTTGCGGCCTTGCCCAATGCCCGGCGAGACAGGAGATGCGCCTTGCGGCGGCCGAGCTGCTGCAGAGGCTTCAGGCCGCGCTTCATGCAGCCGCCGCGGCGGAGCAGCAGCAGCAGCAGCAGCAGCACGGGGATCCGCGGCAGCAGCAACAGCAGCAGGTGCGTCCGTCGCCGCCACATGCTGGCACTCCCGAGTCGCCTCCAGCAGCAGGCGCGGCCGCTGCCGCGGAGCAGTGCGCAGAGTGTGGCGCGGGAGGCCGGCTGCGGCTGTGCCGTGGCTGCCGGGCGGTGCGGTACTGCGGCGAGGAGTGCGCCAGGCGGGCGTGGAAGGGCGGACACAGGGCGAAGTGCCTGGCGGCGCAGGCGGCGCGGCAGCAGGCTGGGCAGCGGCCGTCGGGTCAGCAGCTGAAGCTGCAGTCATGACCAGCTTGCAGGGGTCTATGTAATGGAAGGTCCATTTTTAAAATTGTCTCCGTTTGTTCTGCACCCCCACTGCTGTGGTGTAGTGTGCCCCGCGTCCCGTACGCGCAAGCTGCACAACCTGTACACTCACGGCAAGTGCGTCACTCATGGAATGTGAACACAGCCCGGTCACGGAGCAGCCTGACTGTGCGAAGACTCGGTCACCACCATATTTCTCGTTTGCGCTGAAGGGGCGAGGACGATACGTGCAGCAATCATGGGTGCACTCAGGGTGCGTGCATCAAGGTGGGGGACCAACCCATCAAGACCAGTGACGCTTTCTTTGGTGCAGTGTTTGATGAGATGTTGTGCTGCACAGATTCAGCATCGCAGATTCGTTGGCAGCGAGTTGAGGACCGCACTTCGCCGGCGTCTGCGATGGGGGACTGGTGCGCAGCACCTGCGGGACAGCAGTTGGTGTAGTGGCCCAACTGAGCTTTATGATATTATGCAGCGGAGAATCCCAAGCTGCCACTTGCGATACCGTGTGTTCATATTACAAAACTTCATCGCGTAATTTATGATACGTCCTGTATACATTGTCTTTGTTCCACACTCGTGATCTGACGAGGGTGTTGACAACAGGCCGTCCAGCGGCCGCTCGTACGTGCAAATATAGTCATCACGTGCGTGGTTTCATGCACGTGTGTATACAGGTCCATCAGTCACAGTAGGGCTGCAGCTGCGTACACAAGCCATTGGACCTTGGACCCACTACTGCTGCGTGCGCCATGTCGGGCCCTGACGTTTCCGGCGCCATCCGCCAGCTGGTCTGGCCCCCACTCGGTCACCGCAGTGTCGGTGCGAGGCGGCCACCAATGTCACGCTCAGCCGCAGAGGTGGCGCTCAACGACGCGCTGCAAGCCGCGGGCCGCGCGGCGCCCGCGCTGCCCGAGGCCCTGCTGCAGCAGCTGAGGGCGGCGATAGACGACCCGGCGCGCCTGCGAACAGAGGCAGCGGCATGCGCAACTGTGCAGATTCTCATTATGGCTCCCAAAGGCTCTGCCCTTGAGCTGCAGGTGTGTGAGGGGTTGGGCGGATGGGAGAAGCTGGGCATGTAAGTCACACTGCAGCGCCCAATCATCATGCAGCGCAGCACGAGCCCAAGACCCGGCAGCACAACATCTGCTGAGTGCCCGCTGAGTGCTGCCCCTTCCTTGCGCGCACGCCTTGCCATGCCAGGTGCGCAGCAGCCTTTTGCCCGGCCTCGCCACGGCACTGGTGGACTGCGTGCGCCAGCGCCGCCACGCGCCGGGGGACGTCGCCGCGTCGGCTGTGTTGCTTATTCCCCACCTGCTGCAGCCGGACATCCATGAGCAGGTGTCGCACCTGCTCGCGCAGGACCCCGCCGCTGCAGACCCCTTGCTGGCCCTGGTCGCCGGCGGGGACCCGCACGGCGCGGTGCCTGCGCTCGCCCTACTGACAACCATAGCCTACTCCAGCGCCCAGGCGGCCCGCTGCGCGGCCTGCCCCGCGGCGCTGGAGACCGCAGCGCAGTACGTCCTCAGCTCGGGCGTTGAGCCGCTGTCTGCTGGAGGTATCGCCATCAGATTCATGTCCGTCGTTGCAATAGGCGACGCGCTCAATGGCAGCTGCGCCAAGGCGCTCGTTGCCCAGCCGCGGGTCATTAAAGCCGCAGTGCGAGCCGTGACGTCCGACGCGGCAGAGCGTGACACGGCGTACGAGGCGGCACGGCTGTTGGCAGCCTTGAGCACTGCCGGAGATCATGACAAGACACAGGGCGATGACGTGACGCGCGAGCTGCTGCGCGCACCTGGCGCGCTCGCCGCCCTCGTGCGGCGCCTGTCGCCGCCGACGGAGCTCCGCACGCGGTGGTGTTCTGCGTTGAGTATCAGCATTGCCGTGGCGCGCGACAAGGAGGCCGCGCGCTTGGCTTTGCAGCTAGCGGTGATGCGCCCCCTCTTTGCGCTGCTGGAGACTTTTGAGGCAGGTCAGTTGGCAGGCGAGGGCGTCCCTGATGGCAGCCGTTCGGCTGGTGGCGGCCTTCATCCCGATTGGGTCGTCGTCTTGATCGGACTGCTCGCGCTGGCAAAAGCAGCCGACGACGGCGGCGCGAGCTTCGCGCGTGCCGCTGAGCCCGTGCTGAGCGGCGTTGTCTGTACTCTGATTGATGCGGCCAGCCGCAGCGAGTCCCCCAACTGTGAGTCAGCAATGTCCCTGCTGCGCATCCTCGGCTCAAACTTCCCAGCGCGCGAGATGTGTACGTCAGTGGGGCACAAGCCTCATGTCGTAGCAGCCGCTGCACAGGTGCTGTGCGGTCTGCTCAGGGGAAGACAACCACACGAGCCCATCCAGTTGCTGACCTTGTGTGGCAGCCTGCACACCCTGGGGAATCTGGTGATTCCAGAGCCCGGTGCCGCGGACATCACACTGCTGAGTGTGCCGTGGGTTCCAGAGTTAACGGCGGCGCTGCGGGCGGTGGTGGCTGGGCCTTTGACTGCAGCTGAGAGCGGGAATCAAGATCAGGCACAGCTGCAGGCGAATGAGGCTCGCGGCTCTGCCGGACACCAGGCCAGTCGAGAGGTGCGCCAGACTGCGACCGACATCCTGCAGAGGCTTCAGGCAGCCCTGGGCGTCGCCGCGCAGCAGCAGCAGGAGCCGCTGCAGACGCAGCAGCAACAGCACCAGCAGCAGGAGCAGCAGGAGCAGGAGCAGCAGGAGCAGGAGCAGCAGGAGCAGCAGCAGCAGCGGCAGCGGCAGCAGGCGGCAGGGTGGCATGAGCCGCAGGAGCAGCGACAACAGCAGCCGCCGTCAACGCAGCCACAGGCTGGCGCTCCTGCGGCGTCTCCAGCAGCAGGCGCGGCAGCTGCTGCCTCGGAGCGGTGCGCGGAGTGCGGCACAGGGGGCCGGCTGCGGCTGTGCCGCGGCTGCCGGGCGGTGCGATACTGCGGCGAGGAGTGCGCCAGGCGGGCGTGGAAGGGCGGACACAGGGCCGAGTGCCTGGCGGCGCAGGCGGCGGGGCAGGCGGCGGGGCAGCAGCCGTCGGGTCAGCAGGTGCAGCCGCGTTCACTATCACCTGGCAGGGTTTCTTGGAAGCGCTATTGACAATTTGTAGCTGTTTGCCTTGCACTCTTACAGCTGTGGTAGTGCGCCCCACGCCCCATGCACGCGAGCTGCACAGTGACAACCCATACACATGCAGCAAGTGTGTCACTCATGCAATGTAAACACGGCTCCAAATCAAGGCGCATCCTGATTGTGCACGGACTCGGCGATCGCCATTTGTCCCGACTGCGCTGATGAGGGGGCGAGGGTGCTGCATGCAGCAATGGATGTGCATCAAGGCAGCAGGTGCGAGGGAACACCCCTTGCCAAGATCAGCGGCGCTTTGTGACAATGGCGTTCCTCAAGAAGATGTTTTGCTGCAAAGAAGTCAGCATTGTGGCAACAACGGCAGCATCGGCACCCTGAGGTCCGCGAATCACCGGCGTCTGGCTCGGGGCGACGGACCGACGGCGGGCGTGAAGGATCAGCAGGACAACTGGTGTCACAGCATGGCGCAATTGAGCTGTGCAGTGCCGCAGAGGTGCAGTGCCGCAGAGGATCCCAAGCTTTAATTCGTGACACCGTGTATCTATTGCAACCATGATTGTGTTGTGACTGACACTTGCTGTAGACATCATCCTTGTTCCGGCACGCTCGTGATCTGACGGCGCTTGGCAAGAGGCCGTCCATCAGCCGCTCGTACTGTACGTGAGTCATAAGCATCACGTGCGTAACAGCACGTGCGTGCACACGGCCATTAGTCGCGGTGGGGCTGCAGCAGGCAGCTGCATAGACGAGCCATTGGACCTTGGACCCACTGCTGCACTCTATCCGTGCGCAATGTCGGGCCCTGACATTGCCAGCGCCGTCCGCCAGCTGGTCTGGCCCCCACTCGGACACCGTGGCGTCGGCGCAAGGCGCCCACCAATGCCACGCTCAGCTGCAGAGGTGGCGCTCGAGGACGCGCTGCGAGCCGCGGGTCCCACGGCGCCCGCGCTACCCGAGGGCCTGCTGCAGCAGCTGAGGGCGGCGATAAGCGACCCAGCACGCCTGCGAACAGAGGCAGCAGCGCAAGCCGTTAATCAGATCCTTGCCGTGGTCCCTGAAAGCTCTGCCCTCATGGTGCAGGTATGGGAACGGGTCGTGGGGAACAAGTCGTGCCGAACTGCATCGCACGATAAACAGCGTTGCACGAGCCCGAGACCTGGCCGAATCAGCCCGCTGAGTGCTGCCCCTTATTCGCGCTCACTCCCCGCCCTGCCAGGTGCGCAGCAGCCTCGTGCCCGGCCTGGCCGCGGCGCTGGTTGACTGCGTGCGCCAGCGCCGCCATGCGCCGGGCGGCGTCGCTATGTCAGCCATATGGCATATTCCCCACCTCCTGCAGCCGGACATCGTCGGACAGCTGTCGCAGCTGCTCGCGCAGGACCCTGCCGCTGCAGACCCCTTACTGGCCCTGGCTGCTGGCGGGGACCCGCTCGCCGCAGTGCCCGCGTTCAACCTGCTCACCATCTTAGCCGCATACTCGGGCTCCCAGGCTGCCTGCTGTGCGGCCTGCCCGGCGGCAGTGGGCGCCGCTGCGCGGTATGTCCTCGGCTCGGGCGTGGCGCCGCTCTCTGTCGGGGACGCTGCCATCAAGTTCTTGGCAGCCGTCGCAACGGCAGCCGTCCAGCCCCGAGGCAGCTGCGCCGCGGCGCTGGCGGCGCAGCCGCAGGTGATCAGGGCTGCGGTGCGGGCCGTCACGTCGGATGCGGCCGAGCCGGACGCAGCGTATGATGCAGCACAACTCCTGGCACACTTGAGCTACTCCAGAGGCGAGGACGTGGCACGCGAGCTGCTACGCGTGCCTGACGCGCTCGCTGCCCTCGTGCGGCGCCTGTCGCCGCCCATGGAGGACCGCACGCGCTGGCGTTCGGCGGTGGGCTTGAGCCTGGCCGTGACGCGCTACAAAGCGGCCACGCATGCGGCTCTGCGACTGGGAGCGATGCGCCCGCTCGTTGTGCTGCTTGAGACGCTCGATCCTGACCAGATGGCAGGCGAGAGCAGCCCTGATGTTGCACATGCAGCTGGTGGCGTGTTGCTTGCACTGACCTTGCTGTCGCAGGCGGCCGACGACGGCGGCGCAAGGTTCACGCGTGTGGCATTGCCCGCTCTGAGCGGTTTTGTTCATGCGCTGATCGAAGTCGCAAGGCACGGGAACTTGCACACCTGTGGGGCGGCCACATCTCTTCTGTTCGCGCTCGGCTCGAACGCCCCAGCGCGACAGCTGCGTATGCCGCCGTCGGTGCGCAACCCTCGTTTGGCGGCGGCCGCCGCAAAGGTGCTGTGCCGTTTGCTTGGGGGCGAGCTGCCAGAGGAGCCTGATGTGGCGCTAGGCTGGCGCGGCCTCCTGCGTGTCTTTGAGTTGATTGTGAGTTCGGAGGCCGGCCGCCCGGACTCCACTATTCCAAGCGCACCGTGGGCGCAAGAGGTGTTGACAGTGCTGCAGGGGGTGGTGGCGGGGCCCTTGACTGCGGCTAAGGGTGGTGAGGCGCAGCTGCAGGAGGACAATACGCGCAGCTGCAGCGCAGGCCAGCTGCATCAAGAGGTGCTCCGTGCGGCCACCAACACGTTGCACACGCTTCAGGCCGCGCTCAACGCCGCCCCTGCGGCGCAGCAGGAGCAGCAGCAGGAGCAGCAGGAGCAGCAGCAGAAGCAACAGCAGGAGCTGCAGCAGGAGCAGCAGCAGCAACAGGAGCAGCAGCAGCAGCAGCAGCAACAGGAGCAGCTGCCTCCAGCGCAGCCACAGGCTGGCGCTCCCGCGGCGCCTTCAGCAGCAGGGGCGACCGCTGCCTCAAAGCGGTGTGTTGAGTGCGGGGCAGGGGGCCGCCTGCGGCTGTGCCGTGGCTGCCGGGCGGTGCGGTACTGCGGCGAGGAGTGCGCCAGGCGGGCGTGGAAGGGTGGACACAGGGTGGAATGCCTGGCGGTGCAGGCGGCAGGGCAGCAGGCTGGGCAGCAGATGTCGGGTCAGCAGCTGCCGCCGCTATCTTGAGCAAAGTGCAGGCGGCGCAAACTTTGTCGCCGTTGCGTTGTAAGCGGCAAGTACATATACCACTAAACGCCGAAGGGTCCCTGTCATAGTGCTGCACGAACAAAACCACTGTCAGGTTCCCTGATTATCTCTGATAGGGCCAGGGCGGTACATGCATCGAGGCGGGGTCGTGCCCTTCAGTGCCAGGTGCAGTGTGCTGCCCACACGCGCGAACCCGTCCTCATGGCGTGCTGCAGCTTGGTTGCCCGCAGTGAATATCTCCTGGCACGCGCTAGTGATGAGGGCGTGGGTGTTTTGGGATGCGGTGTCATGAACAGACCACGCCGCGGCGCCAATGGTAGTGGTGACACCCGGAGTGACACTGACTGGACCCCGCCGCGCGCTGTTGTACCGCAGTGAGGCCCCGGGTGTGCCGACGTCGCTGCTGAGGCCACCGCTTGCTGGGCGACGGCGAAGGAGCACAATGCCGTTTGAGTGATACTGGCGGCGACGGAGAAGGGCCTGCATGCACGGTGCGGCATTTGGACAGCGCAGCATGTGCTGTCAGACCTGTGAGCTGTCCGTGGCACTGGGGCCAACCTAATACTTGGCCGCTGTGGGACACGGTGAACGCCCAAACGCAGTGTTTATTGCGTCTCAATGTATCTAGTGTGATGAGTTCCAAGTGCCCACACGTCGCTTCGCCGTAGTGGCCGTGTGTCACGCGGAACTTGGCCGTGCATGCTGACTCAACCTGATATCAGCGGGTATCATGGAGAACGGTCGCCGCATGAGCACGCAATCGAACAGGCTATTTGTCAATTTTCGCTTGATCGCGGCAACCTTATGCCAATAACTGATTTTGCAACCGTCAAGTCACAAATACTCGTGTGTCATGGACATTTCCTTCCGAATTCCGCATTCCGATTCGCTCACGCAAGCAACTCCGCTCTTCTTTTCCTTCCCCTGTTGCCACCCATGATGCTGCTGCAACCTCGCCCGGTTGGGCTCGGCAGCGGCCGCCGCCTGCAGACCTCCAGGCAGCACCTGACCCCTCGCTGCATCGCGACCACCCCGCCGCGCACTGCCAGCACTGGCAAGCACACCACTATCCGGCAGCAGCTCCCCCCACTCCAGGACGTGAGTATCACCGGGCCCCGCGTCACCCGCCGCACACATGCGCGCTGTGTTGGGTGGGCTGCGGGTGTCCCGCAGCAGCCAGCGCGGGTCACGCGGCCGCCACGTCGGAATGCGCTGTTGATCTGCCTGAATGCACATTGGATGCCAACAAAATCCGTGCGGCGCAGCGTAGGGCAGCTGCGGGCACGATGGCGGCGCAGGCCGTGCACGCTGGACAGCAGCCGGCACCTACAGCCTGCGCTCTCACAGAGGGGTGCAGCTGCCGCATGGCCTCGTTTGGGGAGACCGCTCAGCCCAACGCCCCCCTCTATTAGCACCCCCACACACCTGACACCACCCGAATCATATGTGATGACATTCAAACAGCTTTGTGCAGACGCGCCCCGCCAGCATACCCAGAATCGGCGTTCGAATTCGATGCCAGCGCTCCCCACCCGCGGCATCCGTCAGCCCCCACCCTCCCTCCCCCCTAGTCCCATGCATTGAAGCGAAATTCAGCACCCCTACCACACAGGTCTATCTCTGCATCTAAAGCCGTGCCACCTCGCCCGCCGGATCCCCGTCCCCCGTCCCGCTTCCGCCCACCGCAGAGCGTGCTCAACCCCCAGGCGCGCAGCGAGCTCCAAAGCGTCCTCGACTTTGAGGCGCGCACCTCTCGCCTCGCCTACGCCGACATCTACCTCCCACCCGGCGTGCCGTCCCTGGCGGAGGCGCGCGATCTCAACGCGGTGGTGTTTGGGCACGGCTTCTCGCAGGTGCCTGCGCCAAGAGATCGGGGATGAACACAGGGTTCAGGGGTCCAATGCGGATGGTCGCGGCTTGACTCAGCCGGCGGCCCACCACAGACAGTGCGGCAGCCTGCAGGCCGCACGCAGGGGTGGGTGCAGCCACCCCTTTTGCAGGATCAATGATAGATGCAGACCGCGGATGCGTCCGAAAGGAGCTCGTTCCACACTCACGACCCCGTCATCAGCACGCTCGCCTGCAACTACGCCATCCCCAACACCCCTGCTTTTTGTGCGCTTTTGAATTTCCCTTTCGATGATCGATGGGCAAATGACACCCTGATATTGCAACATAGACACTCACGCGCGCGCACGCACGCTCCCCTGCTCACCCACACCCAGGACCCCGAAAACTACATCACGATCCGCGACCAGCTGCTCGGCGCCGGCTGGGTGGTGGTCGCCCCCACGACAGGCGTGCTTGATGTCTTGGGCCGCCAGGTCGGCTACGAAGCCTCAGCACGCGCCAGCTCAGCGCGCAGCAAGCTGCCAGTCAAGCTGCAGGTCGGCGCACCAGCCTCCCCTGTAGCCTGCCGGCTTTGCCACCAAAAGCACCACTAGCTCGGCAGGCGGGGGTGTGCTTGCCATGCTTGGGAGGTCTCAAGTGAACGGAGCTTGTGTGATGCAGGCAGGGCCCCTTCTGAGTGCATCAAGCAAACAAGAGTAGGCCGACTCTGGCCGCGTTTGTTTGCGGCTGGGCTGGCCCACACACAGCTGTGCGTACCCTTGCAAGGCGCTCGCTCGTGCGACCGATGCCACGCACCAATGACGTACACCAACCCACCGCTGGCCCTCTGACAGCGATGCTGCTTCATTGCAGGCAAACAGCTCACCTCTCTCCATCACCTACCAACGCACGATGGTGCAATGGCACGCCAATCTTGCAACCTGCAGGCTGCCCTCATCATTGACCTCCTCCGCACCGCCCAGCTCCTGCACGGGGGCCCGGGCGCCGACGAAGCGTGCTCACGCATGATGGCAAAAGGACAGGCGCGTGCGCATGAGAGGCCCCCCGCTCCGGTCTGCTCGCTCCACCTCATGCGGTGCACACGCCCACTTGTCATCACTTGATAATCAGCGTAGTGGCCTCACTGCACTCACTGCTCAGCTTGCGCTCAGTGCGCCCATGGATTACAGCGGCTGCGTGCACGCTGACACGGACACACCTCTGTTGGTGTCACCACGGCTCTAGCATTGACGTGTGCAAACCCCACCATGTGCCTGGACCCACGTCCAATTCACTACTTCCTTGTCGCCCAAGCACACTCACAACAAGAATGCCACCTTGCTTGATCATGTCTGGGATGATGTATATTTCAAACCTCCCCACAGATGCTGTTCCTGGGCCACAGCCTTGGCGGCGCGTGCTCCATCCTGGCCGCTGCCAAGCTGCAGTCTGACAAGATCCGCGGCGTGGTGCTGCTGAGCGCGCAAGTCAGCATGATGCAGCAGTCGCCGGTCAACGATGACATTTGTGAGTGGGCGGTGACCGTCCTTGGGGGAGGGCCGACACATTTTGACAGTCTGCCTGACGCGGCATTCGCCCAAGGCCTGCCGTAGCTGGGATCGCAGCCCAGGGTGGATGCGGTTAGCAGAGGGGGTGAGGGTAGGAGGTTGCGTGACCATCGACGGCCCTGCACACGGCGGGAGCTTCTGAAATGGTCAGCAAAATGCACGTGCTCCCCTCGGCACACCGCTCGCTTCCACGCCAAGTCGGAGTCTGAGCACATCCCACCCGCGCCGCCAACGCTCCTTGAACGAACAATCCGGCATTGTAAACCGCCGCCGCCGGCAGGGCTGCTGGATGGCAACAAGAGGAGCACAGAGGCCGCCCTGAAGTTCTTCCAGGACGAGTTCCCCAGGGACACCCCCCTCATCATCGTCAGCCCTGACAGGGACGTGCTCGCGCCGCGGCCCACGCTGGAGTGCCTGTTCACGGTCGCCGCCCAGGCGCGAAAGGTGCGAGGCAGACGGCACCGCCGGACGGGTGGGGCGCTTGCCCTTGTTGGCTGCATGTTTGCATGGCAGCAGCGTGGGGAATTGTATGTTGAGAACAGGCGGGTCGAGGCGCCGTGGCTCGACGTTCCATGACGACTGCTGCTGTCAAAGCACGCCAGTGCCCATGCTGCCGGGCGGGCCTGCGCATGCGGCAGCGGAACGTACTTTGGCCGACCTTCAAAGTTTCACATAATGACGGCACGTTTTGCCTTCCCTCAGAAGCTGTCTCACACACTGGAAATTGCACAAAATTGGTCCATGACCATGCATCTGCATGCAGAAGCCCACCCGCACCTGCGCACCTGTATGTGCACTCTCCTGGCGCGAGTGTCCTCATCCACATGCACATGTGCACGCCCGCAAATGATCTTTCCCCAGGATGAGCAGCTGGCCCTGTTTGAGATCAAGGGGGATCACACTGGCTACGAGGACAGGCTGGATCTGCCCACTGACTTTACATTCCAGGGGGCCCGGGTGCCACTGCCGGCGCTGCTGCAGGCCGCGGTCAAAGGGGCTCTGTCCGCCATCAACCTCTTAGCCATCCCACTTGCTGAGAAGGTGCTGCTGGTGAGTCAGGGGATTGCTCGGGGGAAGGGCAGTGGAGGTGTTGAAATCAACATTATGCAACCCCACACAAGCAATAGATGCTGTTCACACTTGACTGTCCACTCCACGCAAAATGGCGGGCATGCAGGGAGAGGCGGCCAGGAAGCAAAAGGAGGTGACAGCACAGGTGCTGCAACAGATCATTGACCCGATCTTCAACTACAAGGTGTGTGTGAGTGCATGCATGCATGTGTGTGTGTGTGTGTGTGTGGGAGAGAGAGAGAGAGAGAGAGAGAGAGAGAGAGAGAGAGAGCGAGAGAGAGAGAGAGAGAGAGAGAGA